GGCCCGCGTACCCAAAAAAAAAAAAAAAAAAAAAGAGTAGATTTGGCAGAAAAATCCCTTCTATTTGGTTTTGGAATGTCTTTCTCTATTTACACCGAAAAATGGATGACCCTGAGGGCTTGAGAATCCTTAGTCCCTCATCCTAAATAAGGCAAATAACCATAAGTCTCACCTTGTTGAGAAGCCCCAGAACCGTCCGGCCTCCTCCCCCTCTCACCAGCCCTAACTGGCCGTGGTGGTTATAGGACCCCTGACCAAGAACTTCTCCGCTCCAAGGAAAACTTGAAAGACTGAGGAAAAGGCAGAAAGGATGGGAAGGAGTACGTGGAAAAGCTGAGTCAGCACAAGGGGGAAGAGCTTAGACGCTGTCTCATTTGGCCAGTCAGGGCCGACAGGAAGGATTTCTACCTTAGGAGTCCTGGCAGCTACAACCAAAAGAAAGTCAAGAAGCCTGAGAACATCCGATGCATGTTGAATGTCCTGCCAGGATATGGCTTGGGAACCTGAGAAGTCTGAGGAAAATGCAGTAGCAAACTAGCAGAGAGTGGTTAAAAATCCTTGAAGGTGGCACTAACTCTCCAGCAAAAGAAGACGTTTAGAGAAGCTGATTAAGTAGCCGAGAGAACATACTTAATAGTATGTCTGACGCTGGTTAAAATGAAAGCCACGGGCCCTGGGCTCAAGCCTTCTCCTACGCATCAGGAAAATGTGGAGACTCCAAACATGGACATTGAAGTTGACAGAGAAGCTGCAGGGAGAATTACTGATTCCTCTATTAAGAGAGAAGACTAGAGCACTGAGTAGGTAGAAAATAAAGTCGAACTGGGAATTGTGTTTTTTGAATGACCAGAAACCAGATTCCCCAAACCAGAGACCTCTGAAGGTCTGACCTCTTGTCAGCCTGATATGGCAACAAAACCTAAGACTTAGCATATACCAGATCTTTATCAAACATTGACGACTAATTTAAAAGCCAGTCACATCTCCGACAAATAGAAATAGCAACTATTTATAACGTCTTTTGAAAATATATGGTTCCCTACCTCTCTACCCCAAAGGCAAATTTATACCAACAAGGAGAGGGGGATAGGAACTGTGTGCAGTAAAGACCAGCTCTCTTGATAATCCCATTATCAGAAGTTTGAAATCATATACAGCTACAAAGAACTAGCCTGCATTTCCTGCAACCAGACGTGTTGAGCAATTCCACAGCATATTTCTGCTGGCCTTCACCTCCTATCTAAACCAACGCTTCTGTAAGTCGTGGGCTAGGACGTAACCCACCCACTTAGTGATGCCAGGTCATCTGTTTAGAAGAGTCCACTCACCATCATTTTCTTAAACCCCCGGCCTCCCTCCCTTCCTCCTCTACACTGCTAGCCTATCAGGCATTGCCCTGCCAACACTCAAACGGCTCCTGAATTTACCCTTGTCAGGAAAGAGGTGGACTCTACTTCTGTGGCCCAAGCAAGCCTGGGCACGGGAATTACCTAACTACCTGCTTTCTACCCCTAAATCAGTTTCTCCTTAATGTTGAGCTAAACACCTTTTTCTAAGACTAATCTACCTGTATTTGCCCTCAGGCGATTCTATCAGGATAGAGAGGGGAAGCCCTAGAAGGGAGAATGACCATATTCTTTTGATGTCCCCACAGCTCAGGTGCACGAGGTTGTTTAGCAGCAGCAATGAAATCTCATGGCTACACTCTCACCTGTTGGTAGACACACGTGCATACGCACACAGGTACAGACACATGGCTGATGCTCCACCACCAGTCCCAGTTTCCTACCCTAAACACCCCACCCCACCCCCCCACTTGACTCTGCAACCCATAGTCACCAGCCACTGAGCAGGGAAGCAGCCAGGACTGGGGCTGAGGGATGGGTGGGACTCAGGAAAGATAAGAGAGGAAGAGTAGGGAATGGTGCCTACCACCGAGATGTAGCACAAACGAGGCTGGCTGTTGTTTGAAGAAAAGCTAATAGCCTAAAAAGACTGGCACAGCCTTCCAAAGTAGCTAACGTTCCAAAGGCGCAGTAAGCTGGGAGGGTCTGGCTCAGGAAGCGTACTACACAGAGTTAACAAAGACAGGCTCCCCACTCTCAGGAAGCCTGCCAGCACAGGGCATCACAAGACGTCAGTGTGTGAGTAGAGAGGTTTTTCTGAGTGACTCTGCCACGTAGTTCTGTTGCATGATGGACTCTTCCCTGCCGTATTCGTCATCGCCACGCTGAGGCCAGGGGAACAGGTGAAGCGGTCACCACCCTCCCTATACAGAAGTGGCAGGAAAAGATGGGCGGGGCAAGATGGGGGAAGAAAAGCGGTGCGGGGGGGATGTCCTCAGGGAACAGAGAAGATGAAAAAGGAGGCAAAAAGCTCAAGGGGGCTTCCCTGGTGGCACAGTGGTTAGGAATCCGCCTGCCAATGCAGGAGACATGGGTTCAAGCCCCGGTCCGGGAAGATCCCACATGCCGCGGAGCAGCAAAGCCCGTGTGCCACAACTACTGAGCCTGCGCTCTAGAGCCCACGAGCCACAACCACTAAGCCTGCACACCACAACTACTGAAGCCCACGCGCCTAGCTCTGCAACAAGAGAAGCCACCGTAATGAGAAGCCCGCACACTGCAATGAAGAGTAGCCCCTGCTCGCCACAACTAGAGAAAGCCCGTGCTCAGCAACGAAGACCCAATGCAGCCAAAAATAAATAAAATAAAATAAAAGAAAGAAAGAAAAGAAAAATAAAAAGCATGGTATTAAAAAAAAATTTTTAAAAAAAGCTCACGGAAGCAGAGAGGGACAGGGAGAGTCAGCAAGAAAGCTTTTCCCAATGACAGGTTGCCTTATGATTTTTCTAAATTAGGTAGGTAAATGGGTACAATATTACATTTATCCTAAAGTGATAAAATGTGAAGCTTTGGCTCTCAAAGATTTTAATGCCCATATAGTTCAAAGAAGCATGCCTGTTCCGGTCTGCACCATATGAAAGGATGCCGAGGCTGTCCCTGAAACAGCCTTGTGAGTAGAAATCAGACAAGCCAGGAACAATACCCACAGTTCAAAGGGATGTCATTTTAATATTTGAAAGCAGCGTGACGTTCAGCCAGTAGGCACTGGTATGGCCATACATACTGCTTGTTTACAGCAGGCATCCGTTCTGAGTGGCTGGTGCCCATCCTGTACCAGTTGTTAAATATTTTGAAAATCATCTGTGTATTAAAAGGACTGACTCTAAGAGATAGGGAAATAGGAAAAAGGCAGGATTCCTTCAATATCAAAGGTCCTTAGAGTAAGACTACATTAATATATTTATGAGTCTAAGGAATGCAAAATTCAATAAAGTTACGTAGCCAACTCTTCACCTATGAAAGGAGAGCACACCGACCTATGGTCCCACTGCACAAATATTTTCCAGGATGGAAACTGAACTGATCAGATCCCCTGGGTACCGACATGCTTGCTAGTCACATTCTGTGCACAAAGGAAGGGGAAGTCTATATACAATGGAGCCCAAACCCTCGATACTCACTGCAAAAGAGAAGACGAGACAGAAACTATAAATATAGTTTTAAACTAAATACCAAAATTAATTTCACCACTTACAGTTCATTTCCCAATGTGGCTTTTTACATCTGAAAGTCAGAACATCTGTCAACAAAAAAATCCAGGATGATGAAGGTGGTTTGGTCCATTGAGTTGGTGATGGTTTGCTACTAAGGCAGCTACGGAGACATTACGTAAGCACTTGGATCTCTCCAGGAATGGAATCAGAGTGTGTCCTCAAGAGACAGCAGCAGGACATGGATGTTTCCACAACATGGCCAACTAAAAACACCTTAGTTCCTTTTCTACTCACAAACGACTACAGTCAAACCTTTCCCAGATATCTAGAAAGCAGACACTATGACAAATCTTCAGGCTAGGAAGTCCTTCCTGATGTCTAAACTAATTCCTTCTGTAGCCACTGAAGCTTGTTCTCTTACCCTATCAATGAAGTCAGGAGAAGCTGTTCATCCTCACTCACCATCACTGATTTTCCCCCAGGCCTTTTCCTGTCTGAGCTAAGCAGCTTCAACGTCCCTCTTGGCCCTTTGATCATCCAAGGTTCTTGCTGAGTTATGCAGGCTGCTGCTAGGCAGCGATGAAGACGCACCAGGCCAGAGGCACCTTCTGGCTGTGGTGGTGAGCAATGCCAACGCCCAGGGCGCTGACCCTCCTAGGAGCAGACCCTCCTGGTGGCCTCTGGGTCTCGCCAGCATCCCCCAGAGCAGGCAACCAAACCAAGGCACGGGGCTGCCCAGGAGCCTGCCGTCACTATGGGACTGGAGAGGCTTCCTTTTCCTCTCTGCTCTCCTCCTACTTCCTCACCCTGTCCCTGAGCAAGAGGGACCTCACCGAGGAAATCCTCAGTGGCAGAATGGATCCATTCGGCTCAGCAGGCCAGCAGAGGGTTTCAGAGGAAATGTCTGGCAAATGGGAAGCTGGGTCTTCGGTGGTGGCAGTTCTGAAGAGACAGAGAAGGAAGAGAAGTACCAATGGGAGGTGGTCTTCTGCTTCCACACTCATACCTGGCAGCGCCCTCCGACGCACACCACCAATAACTGAACGCTCGCGCGGCTTGGACAGGACCAAGGACAGGGCCAGACTTGGGATCGCTTCTTCTCTGAGACACTCGTGATCTTCTCTGTAACCAGAACTTCCCTGTGGCACCTCACGGCCCACATCCTCCATCCCAGCAAAGACTTTTAGTTGAAGAGACTGAATAGAAGTGTTACAATTAGACAAAAAGGGAACACATGATTCATTCCTGATTTTAACACAATACTTTGAAGATGTCACCACAATTTGGATCTGGCTATATTTTAAGTTCATTTACAAGTAGACTAGTTCTCAACTAAAAATAACCATGTGCGTTATACATTTCGACAGCTGCCTGGATTTTCCTCTGAAGGAAACAAGATTCTATATTTCACTCACATTCAGTACACATTTCTTTTAACCCATTTGATGAAATAGCCCATCACTACCACCCACTGGTGGCTGTGGCTTTCCAAAGCACATCAGTTTCTCCTCAGAGCAGCCTTATGAGTGAGACAGTTATTATTACCCCCATTTCACAACTGAATAAACCGAGTACCAGAAACAGTGGTCTGCCAGGTTACACATGGAATTAACAGCTAAGCCAAGTCTCCTAACCTACCCTACTGCTTTTTTTTTTTTTTTTTTTTTTAAAAAAAACTAGAAAAATTGCCTTTAATAAGACCTAAGATTTTACCTTCGGTTATCTGATGACTTAGTGTTCGGACCAAATTATTCATGTAATTCGAGTACATAGCCTACTTCAATGTAGGCAAAAATGCCTCAAGTCTTTCCACATTTTTCATTAACCAGATTAAAAACTGATCTAATGCTACTGACAAACAACACTCAGAATTTAGTTTCCAAAATAAGAAAACAGTTACAGTTTAATATTTCAAAATCTTTACTTGACAATAATTCTCATTACGGAGTAAGTTAAATAGGTTAAAGTCTGTATCAATACTACCGACACTACCCAAATCTTTTAAGGATTTTCCAGTTTGTGTGGCTGCAATAACCAAAGAGATGCTCTACAGATTTTGAAATGGGAACTAGAAAGAGGATTAAGGGAACAAAACAGATAAAGCAAATTAACATTCCAAAATAATTCCATCCTGACTTTGGGCCTGGGTAAATGGGCAGCTCAAACCAGCATATCTGCTCAAACAGTTAGAAAACATTTTTGCTTTTCTTAGGCTTAGAGCTATTCTGTGGGGTTAGCAACAATACTAGATGCGCTATTAATGGATAAATTCAACTTGACAACTAAAACATATTTTACTGTCAACATGATTGCTAGTTTTAAAAGTCAGAAAGAAAAATCGGCCATTATACCTCTTTTCCTTTGTGTTTCCAGAATTCATACTGAGAGCTTTCCAGACTGTGGTTTTAGGCATTTCGTCAGATATATTAATCTCAGAGGGGTCACATCTGAAATCAATGCTTAGGACAGTCAATGTCAGACATACAAATAAGGTCTACATCTCAGTTTATGATACCCACTACCCACCAGAAGGGAAAAGATGAGGCGTGAGGGAGCTTGTCTCACAGTTCTCGGGAGCACTGGGAACCAGATGGTCGGAATGTCGAGAAGCAAGGTGGCCTGTGAGTCAGAGCTGAGGGCTGGGCCGGGGTGCCGGCTAGCGGACAGCCCTGCCCTCACAGTTCTGCTCCCCTTTGAAGGGCCCCTCTGGGGATGCTGGTGACATCCAGCTTATGAGGCCAGAAGTGGCAGCATCAGGAGCTACCACTTAGTGAGCGCTTGCTGTGTGCCAGGCACGGTGCTAAGCACTCTTGTTCATTTTCTCATTTACAGGGCCAGATCTTTTCCATCTGTAGTTTACAAAGGACTGTTACAATATATTATCTTAACTCTCACAGTATCAGAGATTATTAACATCCTCATTTTTAATGTGTAGAAACCAAAGCTCATAGGGTTAAGAGACTGTCCAAAGTCAGACGTCAGTAAATGGAGAATCAAGACCTTGAATCCAGTACTTGGTCTCCTAGACCCACCCCCCCGCACCACCCCCGCCAGTACTCTAAACTTTTCCACATGCCAGACTCTCCTTCTAAAAGGCCAAGAAGGGAGGCAGCATCTGCTAGCGAAGGAATATGATTCCTGCTTTGCCGTAGAGAATGCAAAGCCTATGGCTCCTTCCATGACAACTTATAGAAAGTTTCTTAAAGATCAAAGATTCCATTTCTTTGGGATAAGTTAAAAAAAATTGAACTCATAGCAACGGAGAGTAGAATGGTGGCTACCAGAGGCTGGGGGGTGGGGGAAAGGGGGAGATATTGATCAAAGGGTACAAACTTTCAGTTATGGTCAAGTTCTGCAGACAATGTAAGGCACGGTGACTATAGTTAATAATAATGTATTGTACACTTGAAATTTGCTAAGAAAGTAGATCTCAAGCGTTCTCACTACACACAAAAAAGAATGGTAAGTGTAGTAAGTGATGGATATGTTGTTAGTTTAATTGTAGTAATCATTTTACGTATATATATATATATACACATATATATATATATATAATGTTGCACACCTTAAATATATACTTTTAGTTGTCATAAATAAATAAATAACCAAAGAAAAGACTTTCCTCATCTCCCCCTCAGTATAAACCACAATCAATTCAATAACTCAGCAGCAAATTATCTAGCATCTAGATAACCCAGATCCCCTCTCTCTTCCTTTTCTGTACCCTCTCCACCTCTGAGCTTTTTTCAGCTTCTGTGTTCCTCTTCCAAGGCGGAAACAAAACACCAGGAATGAAACTGCAAATGGACCAGTTTAGCTTCCTGTGATTTGTGGTGAGCAACAGGTTTAATACACCAAAGGGCTAAGATCGCTGGCAGAAGTAAGGAATTTGGAGAATCCCAGTTCGGTTCCCCCTTGGCTCCTAGGACTGCAGCCGCCATGAGCCAAGCTGGAAGGGGCTGTCTCTGCCCAGCCCCCAAGGGCTTGCCTAAGCATGGGAATTTCATGCCCACCAGGCTGAGAAGCAAAGACTACATCCTGTTCACCTTTGGAAGCTGGCAGAGAGAGGCAGGAGGACCACTGGTTTGGGGAGCACATGGGCTCCCGTAGCTCTGTCCTCCTGTGATTCCCAGCACCTGGCATAGTGCCCAATGCATGGCAGGCCCTCAGAAAACCGGGAAAGGAAAGGTGTTTTCACAGGCTGGAACCGGGAGGCTGAAAGTTTAGCTGTTTATACCAGCAGCTGCATTTGTGACACAGCCCCCATCACCGAGCCAGAACATTTACACAACCACCAAAACAGTCAACTCCTTGGGGCTGGGGGAGTTTTACCTGAAACTGTTGTTCTTTCCAGGACTACTTAGTAACTTCCTGCTCTCTAAGGGGAACTTGTCTCCCCCCATTTCTAACATTTTCTCAGCCTCCTGCAAGAAAAGGAGACATTACTTTATCTTGGATCAAATGAAACCAATAGTCTACACCAGCCCATTTTTCAATCACCATAATTTCTACCTGATTTTCTCTCCATTTATTACAAGTAAGTATAATTTTGTTCTTTCATAGATCTGACTCACCACAAAAGGAGAGACAACCCAACATCTGTACCTATGGAATAGTATTTAAAAAAAAAAAAAAAGAACCTGAATCTGAGTAAACCTTTAGATACAACCACCAGTTTACTGGAAACATAGGAGACAGAGAACATGTTAAATGATACCAAAAGTTATATTTAGTAAAATCTAAATGGCAGGAAACCCTGTAGGTCAAAGACAAAAAAGACAGGAAGGGGGGCTTCCCTGGTGGCGCAGTGGTTGAGAGTCCGCCTGCCGATGCAGGGGACACGGGTTCGTGTCCCGGTCCGGGAAGATCCCACATGCCGTGGAGCGGCTGGGCCTGTGAGCCATGGCCGCTGAGCCTGCGCGTCCTGAGCCTGTGCTCCGCAACGGGAGGGGCCACAACAGTGAGAGGCCCGTGTACCGCAAAAAAAAAAAAAAAAAAAAAAAAGACAGGAGGGGAACCCCAAAAGAAATTTTTTAAATATATCAACCAATTGCAATATATGAACCTTACTGGATCCTGATTCAAACGGATGCTTAAAAATAATAATAAGGCAATTAGGGAACTAGGAATATTGAGTGTTCTTTCTACCTCTGTATATATTTAAAATGTTCCACAATAAAATACACCACACACACACACACACACACACACACACACACAATGGAATACTATTCAGCCATTAAAAAAGAAGAAAATCCTGCCATTTACAACAACATGAATGAAATTTGAGGGCATTATGCTAAGTGAAATAAGTCAGAGAGAGAAAGACAAATACTGTATAATCTCACTTTCATGTGGAAACTAAAACAACTGAGGTCATAGAAACAGAGAGCAGAAACAAACGCCTGGTGGTTGCCAGGCATAGGGGGCAGGGATGGGTGAAGGTGGTCAATGAGCTGAATAAGTTCTGGAGATATAATATCCAGCATGGTATCTATAGTTAGCAATACTCTATTATATATTTGAAAATTGCTGAGATTAGATTTTAAAATTTCTCCACACACACACACACACACACACACACACAAATGCAAGTATGTGAGGTGATACATGTGTTAGGTAACCCTATTGCGGTAATCACTTCACAGTATACACATATATCAAATCACTGCATTGTACACCTTAAACTTACACTATGCTATATATCAGTTATATCTCAATAATGCTTGAAAAAATAATACAAGATTTTTAAAACTCAAGATTTTAGGGAAAAAAATCCTTTAAAATGAAGTTCGGGCTTCCCTGGCGGCGCAGTGGTTGAGAGTCCGCCTGCCGATGCAGGGGACACGGGTTCGTGCCCCGGTCCGGGAGGATCCCACATGCCGCGGAGCGGCTGGGCCCGTGAGCCATGGCCGCTGAGCCTGCGCGTCCGGAGCCTGTGCTCCGCAACGGGAGAGGCCGCAACAGTGAGAGGCCCGCGTACCGCAAAAAAAAAAAAAAAATGTATTTCAAAGGACACTATTTCAGGCACTAACTGTATTTGGAAATAGTTTCAGCCTCATTCTTGGCCTGGTATTTTCATTTTGCTACACATCCATTCTTTGCACGTATAGGCCATTGATTGAAGGTCCACCATGTGGATGGCAGATGCCAAGTGCTGAGGGAAAATGAGGCAGGACGGAAAGTCCTATGCAAGTTATCTTTGCGAACCACAACAACATCTGCAGTTAGGTATGTAACAAATACTCTTGGAAAATAGTAGGTTTTTTATACTTGTCAAATTAGACCTTTGGGAGAACATGAACCATTTGATCTGATAATAAGAGCGGATTCCATGTTCATACTCTAAGTGTGAACCTGATGAGTAGACTGTAGACAAACAGAGGGAAAACAACCGGTTATCAAATCTGAAGATGAAGGACAGACATGGGCTAAGAATATCTTTGGAGTAATCTTCCCCACTCCTAAATATAACCCTTGGGATTCGAGACATGCTGACTTTTCATGCGGCCCTTCCTATGTTCTGTCATTTGAAGCTGCCCCAAAGTCTGCAGTTGGTGCAAGAACTATGACCTCTTCCTCCTTGGCCTTCTTTTTGGCATCATCCAACTTCTTCTTTTTGCTTTCTGGCATGAGATCATCTAACCAGCTCAGCTCCCGCTTAGAGAAACAGAGATCCATGACTTTCCTGACGAAGACGAGGGCCAAAACCTGAAGAAAAATAAAGAAAGTGAATTAGAGGGGCTCATTTCCTCCCTGGAGTTTAAAAGCAAAGTCTTATTTTCACAGCAGACTAGAACATGTCAAGCAAAACCAAACTCATAATAATCAAAATATTTGCCTTTATTGAGGCTCTCTGAACCAGATACTAAGTTAAGTGTTTTCTATACCATAGTTTATTTAACTCTCATCATAACAACCCTACAACTTACTGATTCCCTAACTGAACTAATTTAATTCCTTTATTGAAAAGAGGAACCCTCCATCGGCAGATGGCCCTAAGAGCTGCCTTCCCCTGGCTTGAGGCCAGCAGGAAGGGCTACCAGGCAGCCTGGGGGTGGCGAACCTCTCCAGGAGATGGCTTTGGTGGGGCCAGCCAAGCTCAAACCAAACATGGGTCACCAGGGGGTGAGAGGGCCTTGAAGGACCGTCTGGATTTCCTCTGATCCTCTGCCTATACATTTACTCACAAAATCCTTGCTTTATGCCTGCATCATGGATCTCGAGTGATTTCTGTCTCTGCCCTCTGGCCTGGCTTGACGCTCATTTTATAAATGAGGAAACTGAGGCCCAGGGAGAGAAAATGACTCACCTAAAATCTGACAGCTAATTTCCTCAATGGCAACGACCAGGGATCTCAGCTGCTGCTCCACTTTCTCCCCATGGGGGCCATTTCAGCCAAAGGAGAACCAATAATAACCCAGAATGACCTGCCTGGACTGACTGGTATTCACCAGCTAAATTTGGTGACTGGACCAGGCATGGGGCAAATCAGGCTAATTAAATTCATTTCTCCCTAATCTCAATGACTATTTTCCCAATAAAGCCAAAATTCATAGTATCCCTTCCAGGAGTTGCCAGGAATTTGCTATTTCTTTAACCAAACACTCAAGCCCTGAACAAGACACCCAAATGCAGAACCCTACATGTATTCTGACAAAATTGAGAAACCCATCAGGAGGGTATGTATCTAGGAGATTAGGGAAAAAGAACCCCGAAGATTCCTCACCCTTGAATATACTCCTAGTAAGACAGAGTTCAAAAGTACCTAAATGAGTACCAGACATTACCCTCATTGGCTTTTCCCTTCTGAGGCCCACCCTTTGGGTAACTTTCAAAGAGTCCACTGAAATCTCAGCCTCCTCATGACACAGAGTGAGCCAAAGACAGGAAGGCATCAAGAGGACAAGATGGAACAGTGAGGTGGTCAGGTGGCAAGAATTTCATCATCACCCTAGTTTTAGAAAACAGGTTGTCACCTGTTGCTGAACCACACAGTTCCGCATTCCTGGTCTCCTTTCCAGAGCACTTGCTTCAGTTAGAAAAGAGGCCAGGATGTCCCAGTCACTTATCAGTGCCAGACCAACCTCTTTCTCTTTCCCAGTGGCTTGAAATGGTGCATTTCCACCACTATGGACACTTTTGATTGCAATAAATTCTAAATAGGAACCATATTGCTTTGAGGTAATATGCAAGTTACTGCAAACATGAGGAGTCCTCTCCATGTCAGATACACGAAAGAAAGAGAGAGAGAGAGAAAGAGATTCAGACAGACAGACAGGCAGACTAGTAGCCTTAAAAGTAAACATGGTAAACTACTACACACATGCATCCACACCTCAAGGTCCTCAAAATAGTGCTGCTCCTGCAAAGACCAACCAAAAAACAAAAACTCACCATCAATAAAGGATTAATATCCAGAATATATAGAGAACTCCTAAAACTCAACAACAAAAAAACATACCACCTTATTTTAAAATGGGCAAAGGACTTGAACAGACATTTCTCCAAAGATGATATACAAATAGCCAATAAGCACATGAAAAGATGCTCAACATCACTAATTATTAGGGAAATCAAAACCACAATGAGATAGATACCAACTCACACCCATTAGGATGGCTGTTATCCAAAAAAACCCACCATGCCACAACATGGATGAACCTGGAAGACGTTATGCTAAGCGAAACAAGACAGTCACAAGAGGAAAAATACTGCGATTCCACTCACATGAGGTAACTAGAGGAGTCAAATTCACAGAGACAGAAACTAGAATGGTGGTTTCCAGGGACTGAGGGGAGGGAGAAATGGGGAGTTATTGTTTAATCGGTACAGAGTTTCAGTTCTGCAAGATGAAAGACCTTCTGGAGGTGGATGGTGGTGATGGCTGCACAAACAATGTGAATGTACTTAATGCCACTGAACTGTACACTTAAATATAGTGAAGATGGTTAAGTTTTACGTTATGTATATTTTATCACTATTTTTTAAAATAAAGAATAATACCTTTTAAACTCACCATCATTGGAAAGACAATGGCAGCTGGAGATGCCTTGATGACCCAAAGCAGGATGAGGCAGGTCAGCTGGATGAGGGTGAAGAGGTGCACTTTGCGCAGCGGCACGTGCCGAAGGTAGATGAAGTCTGGCTGGTGCTTTGCGGGCATCCCAAAGAGCTTCAGACGATCAAAGAACTGAAAGGAGGGAACTGGCATTTATTTCCACGTGGTTTCTCTGGGCCTCGTTAATCCCATTCATATCTCTTATATCACCTGGCTCCGAAAGGTGGGTAATACCGTTTCTACCTGACAGAAGGGGAAACTGAGTCTCAAAGAGAACAGGTAATTTGACCAAGGTTGGCTAAGTGACAGAGTCAAAATTTGAACCTATCTCTTCTAATTCTGGGTTCAGCTTTCTCTCTCCTCTCCCACACTCTAGCTCCTGAGAGAGATCTTTCTCAGGGAGTGCTGAAAACAAAATAAGCAGTGGTATCTTTCTGCTGAAAAGACCAAATCTCTTACTTGTTCTTTGAGGAGTTTGGAGCTTTTCACTGATTATTTAAAGTAAAAAGATAGGGACTTCCCTGGTGGCACAGTGGTTAAGACTCTGCACTCCCAATGCAGGGGACCCAGGTTTGATCCCTGGCCAGGGAACTAGGTCTCACATGCATGCCGCAACTAAAAAGTTTGCGTGCCACAATTGAGGAGCCCACGTGCCTCAACTAAGGAGCCGGTAAGCTACAACTAAGGAGCCCAACTGCCACAACTAAGACTTGGTGCAACCAAATAAATAAATTAATTAAATGTTCAAAAAATATATATATTTTAAAAAAGGTAAAAAGATAAAATGAAATCTCATGGGGCTTCCCTGGTGGCGCAGTGGTTAAGAATCCACCTGCCAATGCAGGGGACACAGGGTCGAGCCCCGATCGGGGAAGATCCCACATGCCGCGGAGCAACTAAGCCCATGCGCCACAACTACCGAGCCTGTGCTCTAGAGCCCACAAGCCACAACTACTGAAGCCCACCCACCTAGAACCCGTGCTCCACAATAAGAGAAGCCACCGCAATGAGAAGCCCGCACACCACAAAGAAGAGTAGCTCCCGCTCGCTGCAACTAGAGAAAGCCCGCACACAGCAACAAAGACACAACTCAGCCAAGAATAAATAAATAAATAAATTTATTTTTTAAAAAATGAAATCTCATAACATTTTGGATATAGAAAATATGACCATCTTATATTATAAAAAGGAAAACAGAGACGCAGAGAGATTAAATAACCTGCCCAGGAGTTGGAGGAATCAGGCTCCCTGACTTCAGACTATACTACAAAGCTACAATGAACAAAACAGTATTGTACTGGCACAAAAAACAGAAATATCGATCAGACAGAAGAGGATAGAAAGTCCAGAGATAAACCCACGCACCTGTGGCCACCTAATCCGTGACAAAGGAGGCAAGAGTATATAATAGAGAAAAGACAGTCTCTTCATAAGTGGTGCTGGGACAACTGGACAGCTACATATAAAAGAATGAAATTAGAACACTCCCTGACACCATACACAAAAATAAACTCAAAATGGATTAAAGACCGAAATGTAAGGCCAGATACTATAAAGCTCTTAGAGGAAAATATAAGAAGAACACTCTTTGAAATAAATCACAGCAAGATCTTTTTCAATCCACCACCTAGAGTAATGAAAATAAAAACAAAAATAAATAAATGGGACCTAATTAAAAGCTTTTGCACAGCAAAGGAAACTATAAACAAAATGAAAAGATAACCCTCAAAATGAGAGAAAATATTTGCAAATGAAGTGACTGACAAGGGATTAATCTCCAAAAATATACAAATAGCTCATGCAGCTCAATATCAAAAAAACAAACAACCCAATCAAAAAATGGGCGGAAGACCTAAATAGAGATTTCACCAAAGAAGACATACAGATGGCCAAGAGGCACATGAAAAAATGCTCAACATCACAAATTATTAGAGAAATGCAAATCAAAGCTACAATGAGGTATCACCTCACACCAGTCAGAATGGCCGTCATCAAAAAATCTACAAACAATAGGGCTTCCCTGGTGGCACAGTGGTTGAGCCCGCCTGCTGGTGCGGGGGACACGGGTTCGTTCCCTGGTCTGGGAGGATCCCACATGCCGCGGAGCGGCTGGGCCCGTGAGCCATGGCCGCTGGGCCCGCGCGTCCGGAGCCTGTGCTCCGCAACGGGAGAGGCCACAAC